TCAATAATAGCAATCCACTTTAAACAGTCTATCATGCAGTTTTGGGCTGAACATGTGCTGTTCCCCCCATCATTATGGAGCCTGAGGCAGATGTACTGTATCCTCCTTAGTACTCAGCACCAGCAGCACTCGCATATGAAGGACAATACAAAGAACAATACAAAGAACAATAGACATCACAGTATCCCGATCCAATTTCATATCTCAAAAGTTGGGCAACATTTGATCAGTTGACATGCTGGCTATGGTCAACATATTTGGAAACGCTGTCACAGCTGAGCTGATGATGTAATCCTAATGGTAAATGTGTGTTTAGTTTAGTTCAATTCAATTTGTTGACTTTATGTTGATTTGACAGTGAAGCAAAGTCTCAGCTTGCCGTTGGCCTGTTAGCAGAAACTACATCACTGATAAAACAAATCCATTTTAAACTGGCTTTAATTTGTTATTTGTAAATATTATTACACTACATGAGCAAAATGTAATATCGTTATCAATCCACAACTTTTTATTCTAAATGCATTTGCTCATCAATAGTCATGTTGTCGATATAAATCCATTATGCTACTGCTCATTTTTTAAATGGAAAGTATTTACTCTCTAGCATTTGAAATAGACGTTTTGAAACTGAAAGCTTGTACGTGATACTAATGGAAGTCAAGCTAAAGATGTAGTGGTGCTATCTGTGGAGGAGTTCATGTCAGAGGTCAACCTGACCAGATACAAAGGTGCACCAGAAGAAAAAGGCCTTCGCGTTTCATTGTAATGGAAACTCAAGATAGGCCGCAACATACAAACACAAAAATGCACACAACCACACACACACACACACACACACACACACACTTCAACGTAGACACGATGTCACCACAAACATTTCCATTCACTGACTGTCAGGCCAGTGTTTCCACCAGCGGATGTTTTTTGAGGCCAGTGTTTCTTTGAAAAGACACAGAGGGCCTAAGACAGGCAGGAGTAAGCTTCATCAGCTATTTAAGAATGCGTCTCCTGTAGGATACTTGAAGTTCTACCTTTCTAGAACTCTTTTTGATCTAAGCCAGTTTTCTGTTTGATCGTAGATGCAGAGTTTAAAATGTGTTTTATTTTTCTTCAGAAATTACTTCATAGAGAGAGAGAGAGAGAGAGAGAGAGGGCCACTTGCATAGTGGCCCAAACTTAAATATATATTCATTAAAATGAGTAGATCAGTAAATAAGAAGGCACTAAATCTCGACACAAAAAGTAAACACACACCACACACTCCAACAGGAAGTGTGGGTGTTTGGGAGCAGCTGCATGGAGAAGCATCAGACACAGCTTCCTCCTGGTGCAGCCAGCATCTCATCTCTGTTCTCCCCCTCTATTTACTCATTTCCTTCACATCGCTAACACAGACCGAAACCTATATCCAGACAGAAACAGACAACGCCACCATGACGTTCAAACTCGTGCCAAAAGAACTGAACACAACAAGATTCAATCTGTCCTGTTTCTGTCCTCTTTCTTCAGAAACGTGACACACCAGCACATCACCACCTGAAAGTCCAAATGTTGCACAACACTTTCCCCGCGTTGAGCTCAAATCTAGGGCTTGTTGATTCGCGTTAAAGACTTGACTCCACTCTCACACCTGTGCAAAGTGAGGCTCGGATGACTCAAGGCGCAGATGGACAGCAGATAAAGCCAGAAAATTGACATATGAAAGTGATGTTTTGGAAATGTAACTGTTACATCAGAGCCTCAGCTGTAGATTGACGATCTTTCATGTTGTGCAATCATCTTGGTAGGGGCTTGATTATAAAAACGAGATGATAAACAGGATATGCTGCATCTGTCAGTGTATGTGAAAATGCACCATCTAGTTGAATATAGTGTCTGAATCAAGGCCAGTGGAGCCTTCCTCTAACAGGAGACTGCACAGGTGCAAGTGCCTTCACATCTTGTTGTTTCCCTTTCCAGTTTTCTATTCGTGCTTTCTATTCCACACCAGTGTGCTATCCCCATGTCCCATTCCAACCAGTATTCCTCCGTCTTCTACTTTCCTTTAACTCCTCTCCTCAGCCCCGTTCTGTCAGCAGCACACCCCCAGTTAAGTGGTTACTGTGCTGCAGACACTAAGCAGTTATTTCTGTGTTTCCTGTGTGTCATGTGGTGGTAGCTCGAACTAGCTAGCATGGCTGACAACACACAGGCTCCCAGGTGCAGAGTGTCACAGTGTGGGCCATCAGCCAGAAAGCCAGTGGGCCAGTTAGCAAGCCAACTGGGCCCTGCAGCACATGCTGCCCTCCACCCCCACCCTTAAGCCATTGCTATTCCCAGCGGAGAGGAGGAAACAGGCTTGTGACATTTTCTCTATGGGAAAGAACGCACGCCTGTGTTTGTTTGAGCTTGCCTTTTTAGCTTTTATTTATGTGGGCATTGGAAACAGTTGGTCTAAAGGTTTTTTACATGTCATCAACCTGTCAAACTGATGACACTCTGGTTATGTGCAGTTCTACTGTATTTGGAATAAGCTTTCTCCCCCAGAGTTCAGGGGTCAGACTGCGCCAACGGAGAACACCTCGAGCGAAACCAGCATGCAGGGGCACCAGGGTTCGCCCTCTTCCCCCAGCTCGCCCCCAGGCTGCAGATGCATCGGCCCAGACAAGGCTGCACTTCTCTGGGCAGCACAGAGGGACTGCTGTGCTCCGGTTTCTGGAGCCCCGATGCTCCGATTGAGACCCTGCGCCCATGCAGGAACCAGAGGGAGGGGAAAGGGAGAGCAAGGGAGGTGATGCAAACACATCTGGCATCCGCAAAAACCCTGCACACAACTTTCATATCACCATGAGAGAAATGTAAAGGCCGTATAGAAAAGCAAGCTCAGTTTTGCCTGATGCTATCACACATGCAACAGAAGATGCACACACCCACACACACATATCCCATTGCGTGCCTACTACCTCTGCAATCTAGAAAAGTAATTATGTGAGGAACAGGACAAGAAGTCACAACAATTCTCCAGCTGGTAGGGCAGCACCAGAATACACCACTCTCTGCTATTGTTCCATTTATACAACTCACCAAATAATGCCGCGTTGGTGTCAAAAGAAACAAGTTATTTAGCGACATAGCAGCTATAGAGGAAAGGGTATTTAACAATGCTATTTCCAATGATGTTTACATACACGGTGCTTTATATACATATGGCAAGATCTATTAAAGACGTCAAGGGGAAGATAAATGAAAAGCTGTGAAAGGAGGACACAATAGAGAGCGTATCAGAGTGCAAGAAATTTGTGTGGGTGCACGTCTCTGCAAGGTGTCTTTGCGTGGGCGGTGCCTTTTGCATTAGGCGGCGGTACAGGACAGAGTTAGAGGTAGTGGTTGGGACGCGCGTGTGTGTGTGTGTGTGTGTGTGTGTGTGTGTGTGTGTGTGTGTGTGGGGGGGGGGGGGGGGGGTAAGAGTGCACAGTTCTTCTGATAAACAACCAACACCTCTTTCTCCATTTCAGCCGACTATTCCACAGTTCCAAGCGTTGTTCTCTCAAACCTATTCTCACATAGTTAGGCGAGAAAGGAAAACGCATGCTTGTAAGGGTATATAAGGTATCAAATGCATATACACAGTGGTGTTGGTGTGCCTGTGAGCTGCCTCCTCTCTTCAGGGTGACTGAGTATAGGCCAGTGAGAGGCATAGCAGCGAGCTGGAGCGGTATGCTCTTTGTGGCCAGCTGTGGGGCCATTAAAGGCCCATCTGCAGACAATAGGCTCTGTCTGAAGGGCACACACAGCCTGGTTCCTGTCCTGCCCTGCCTCACTGTGTTTGTGTATGGATGCGTATATGAGAGTACCATGCATTTCCATGCCCCATTTTAATCTATTACAAAGGAATACACAGAAAACATACACTTACTAGCCCATCTACTTAGCAGCTACTGCTAAATGTAAGTCTAATGGGTCTGCATTAAACATTGTAAAATGTCCACAGCAACTACATATAACAGACTCATAACCTTATAATTCTATAATGCTGTGCTTCACCGAGGCTGGCGTCTCTTGTTGAAGTCAAGACATAAACATATTTCACCGTGCGAGTCAAGCTTTCATACCATCCTCTTTTCAAAGCAGAGGAAATGAAGATCACTTTATTAAAAGGTTATCTCCTGTCACACACTTGCCAAAACACAACAGCATGCATATATATAGGCGGGCGCTGGAAAACAGCTAGCTGGCCCAACCACATACCACTCAGAGCGGTTCGATCAAGTAAGCCACAGCTTCACATGCCCTGACACATACACGCACGCACACACACACACACACGAGGCTGCTGCATGCAGACACATGCAAAAAATATCCGTCCCAATACTAAAATAGGCCTCGAGAGGTTGCACCTGCACCTGTGCCCTGGTCCACACCTACACACAGGTGTCAGGATGTGACACATACACACAGACAGAGAAAGAAAGATAGCAGAGAGGGAGGGGGAAAAACAAGAGCTGGGTGAATCACACGGCTGCGGTCGACCAAAAAGCTTTTTCTAGATACTATCTCCGTATTTTGGAGTCTAATGATGAGTGTGATTTTCATTTTTAAATAGACGTTCAGGCGTTTGATAATTTAAAAAAAAGTACAGCACACAATACGGTAATTCCTCAGTTCTCTCTGATATGTAATTATATAATGTATGACAGGACTTCTATACATAATTATGGGTTTGCGGGGAGTGGAGTGAGGGTTTAAGTAAAGTGTGTATCATATTGAATACTTGAGTGCCTCAAGTGTCTCATTCTGCAATCTAGAATGAGTGGAGTCTCTAATGGATGCAACTGTGTGTCACACTGAGTCATACCCATTTGTCCCTCAGTGGTATGGTCCATTCTCAAAACGGTCAGAAAAGGGGCGAGAAATAATCTAAACAGTGGCTTATCTTTAAAATATATATAAAGCTGCATTGGGCAGAAACATGCATGTTGGAACACAGCGTCACACACAAGCACATGCACGGTACATAAAGAAAAGGTTGAGATTGAATTTATTATTTCCAAAGTCAGACATTAACAAAATAAAGGCAGTATAAATTATTTTACATGGGCTAATCACTGTAAAATCTAAATAATAAGACTGCATTATTGTGCTTCACTTTTACTAAGCTACTGATTATAATAAGTAAGTAATAAGAAGTACTTTCACTCCGACAGTAAGTCTGGGCTCTGGCATAGTGTTCTGGTTTTAAAGGGATGTGAAAAGGTTGCTGAATAGTAAAACCATTAGGGTTGGTTGATTTTCTGCCAGTCAACCAACTTTGGAAGGCAAGAGTTTTTACATGATGAAAGAACACAATATACTACATGGAAGTGGATGCAACAAAAACATTCTACTGATGCTCTATGTTCTTTGAGAAACATTGCCACCTTGTGGCATCTGACTTTTGCTGCAGTCCAACAAGACACTGCAGCTCCAGCTGCACTACAACCTCAACTTTAATTCCCTTTTCATTCAATTTATTTAATTTTCCTTCCTGTCTTTTACAAATGGTTTTAATGCATTTTATGTCTTACGCAAAGCACTTTGTATTGCCTTTGTGTTTCACAGGTTCTATACAGAGAAAGTTGTTTTATATTCCAGATTATTGTCTTACGGTTTACAAATATTGTTTTTATAGATGTGTATTTTTTGAATATATGTACATATGTACATAGTAGTTATGTTCAGTCTTTGTCCAGGGGGTTGTCCTTGTTTTTAGCTGTATGTCTATTTGTATACACTGTTTATTTTCTATTTCATATGTACATACAGAGCAACGGCCGGAGTAAAATCCCTTTTATATGCACACACAGACTTGGCCAATAAAGCTAATTCTGACACTATATTCATTCTCCAGAGCTCACAGACAAATACACATATTGAAGCTTTGGTTATAAAAGTTTGCTAAAGCTTTGTAATGTATTTGCAATCTGACTAATATGTTATTGTGTCAGAAAATACTAATACACACCCTGAGTAATATAATTAACCAGTGTATCAAAAGGAAAAGATTAGGATTAGTCAAGGCCCAAATAACAGCCTTCAAAAATCCTCATCCTTTTCTTTCTCACCCCACATCCCTCACAGTTCCTCCTTCCTGGCTCCAATGGGACAAGAGACTCCGGTTCCTTTGAGGTTACAATAGCCATTAGGGACCTTCTTCAGATACTGCTGGTGATCGTCCTCAGCGTAGTAAAACAGCTGCCCCTCCCGGATCTCTGTGGTGATGCTACCGTAGCCTTTCTTATCCAGCTCCTAGAGACAAAATACAAAACACAACATCGTTTTTTAACCCATTTTTCAATGCATTTCATACACAGTGAAATGACAAAAGGTTATGAGATTAGATTTAAGGTGTGTTCACTTAAACTTGGAGATACAGAACTACTGGCCTCCTTAATCAACAGCAAAGCTGTTAAAGGTTGAAATCACTAAAACAGACCTATCTATGAGGAAAACATTCCACGTATGCAGTGTCTTCATATGCTCGGATGATTCTGCAGCCTGTCTCCGACCCCTCAGTCATGACATACATTCAGTACTACTTTCTCCGTTTTCTAAAACTTCCTAAAAAAGGTACACGCCTCTTTAAACGGTTGTTTTATTCTGTAGTGTATTGGATGTGAACTTTCAACTCACTAATACAGTAAAGAGTTTTTTCGCTCCACAGCTAGAAAGCAGGGTGATTGAGTGACAGAAGAAAGGAACATATTTTTCTTTCAGTAGTGCAGCTTGCCTCTGTGGCTGTCTCTGTGGGACAAAGCATCAAAGAGTATCCGCTCTCTTTGAGAACTCTTTAAGACACTTTCATACTTACACTTTTCTGAAATTCCTTGAGAAAAGGCTTCAAACACACAAAAAAAAGCACACTTGTACACATAGACAGACACACACACACACGCACATACACACACATTAATACCTCTGACAGATATATCGAATACCTGCTGAGCTGAGTGGTTTTCTCTATCTAATAACACAAGCACTCCTCTAGATCAGTGCTCCTGAGAGCTGACAAAACAACAAGTCTGAGGTGCACTGGGAGTATCTGAGGGCAACAAGTAACTTGCATGCAGCACTACATCTCAGAACTGTGTGCAGCACTGAGGAGCTGTGCTTTATGCGGGCGTCAATTGACAGGGTTCAGCAAGCACCATGAAATGTATCCAACCTTGGCTCAACCCGTTCTTATCAGCTTCTGCATAGGCACCCGTCTCTCTGCGTGATACTGTCATGGATGCTGCTGAAAACTTATGGATTCTTCATTCTTCTTGGGGTGATAAAACCTCAAAATGTATGGAGGTTAGCTTGAATTCCTGGAGGTGATGATGGAGGCGATTCAACGTTTTCAAGGCAGCAAAAAAGTATCAGAATGTCTTATCAAAGCTACTCAAAAGACTGCAGCATCGTCTGCATTTGCATTGCTGAAGGGTAATGTTCTTCATGTTCAAAATAAGTCTCATTCTTGTAAAATGTAGTGAAAGACACAGTTTTTATTTAAATCCTCGGGCATGGCAATGTAGGACTTGTGAAAAAAGCTCATGTTCCAATATGTACTCGTCACTTTTAAAGCTACATTAATCAATATTTAATATATTAAATGACTCAACTGGTGTGTAATGTAAAATGTGTTGCGTGTAGTGACGGAGCCACAGAATTATAACCCAACTTTGCAATTCTTCTGAGCAGGTTTTAGCTCATAGTTTTGGTTTTATGGAATCTCAATGTCACCGCTTTGGTCTACTCTCACTGCTCTCATTAACCCCGGTTCCAGCAGCAGCAGGCAGCTAATTTCAGTGAATAAGCTCTTATAAACCCACGGTATGCTACCTGCCCAGCACCAGATGGAAGACAGACAAATGTGGTGAACATAGTAGAACATAGTAGAACATTTAGCCATATATAGGATTGGATCAAGACCAGCCTCCAGGAAATCCCAGTGGTGTTCACCTGGTAACTGGAAATACCAGAGTATAATATTCACACCATGTTCCTACTTATTAAATTCAGTGACGCCTTGTGGCCTGTACGGATCACATCTGTATCAGTTGTTATGATTTTCCACTTATTTAATCAAGTTTTAAAGTTTAATTTGTCACCTACGTGTAACTATTAAATGTGAACCTTCCCATTCTTTAAATTTCAACTGTTGGTCAACCAGTCTCGAGCTGCAACCTACTTGATTACTTTTTAAAATGTATTAATCTACCAGTCATTTTGAATGGATTAGAGTTGATTATTGTCATCCTATAAAAATGTCAGAAAATAGAGAGAACTGCTCATCATAACTTCGTCATATTTGAGATGCTGCAAGCTATTTTTGTATTATTTTTGTAAAGGCAGTGTATAATTCTGTCCACATGGAGGCAGTGTGGTACAAGCAGTGTGTGTTTGTGCGAGTGTGTTGGAGGTGATGCAGTGGAGTCAGTAAATCAAAGCTCCGCGCCCCACAGAGAGGCTGAGGCAGCGGCTGACCTCCAAGTCCTCAGTGGCTGCCCGCTACAATGTGAGGGCTCTCATCTCCCTGCAGGAAGGACTCAACGTCCACTAACCAAACTACAGCCAGAACACCAACCTCACAAGCACGGACATATTTACCCCTTTCAAATGCACACTGTGTGCAGTCTGATACAGAAGAACCCATTTGTCCTGCCCACATCCAACAGCATTGTAGTGAACCAGCCAACACAAGCGTGGAATCTTTGTACATCGTGGCCTAATTAATCAGTCATCATCACAGAACCACTGTAGTAGCAAACCCTCCAGGGCAGAGGACGCTTCATGTGAGGAGAACACAACGTCCAAGAAAAGGTCTGCTATACCGAGCAAACGTACACCCCCGCCCTGACATCCCCGCACGGCTCCCTCGCTCTCCATCCAGCCCCTCTACAGCAGTCACAACACGGCGGCCATTTTAGATCTATAAATCAGAATGCATGGCGTCACACCACTGTGTATAACCTTATGTGGCTTCTCTCTCTCTCTCTCTCTCTCTCTCTCTCTCTCTCCCTCTCCCTCTCTCTCCCTCTCTCTCTCACACTGCAGCAGCAGCAGAGGAATGGAGGTAAGGATGTGGACTGTAAAAAATTCCAAAGATGGAGGAAAGAAAATTCTCGAGAGGAAGAGCAAACGGGATGTCCTCAAGTTGGGCATTTTGATGCTGGTGATGATGACGTTTAAATGACGGCTACATAGAGGGAGAGAAATGTGTTCCTCTGTGTTTGTGTATGCGTTTGTATGTATGAGTGAGTGTGTGTGAGGATTGAAATGAAGGGTCATGAATACAGAACACATAAGGTATAGTTCAGGGTGTGTGTGTGTGTGTGTGTGTGTGTGTGTGTGTAACTGTGGGGACACAAATCACGTCACGACATTTTGGGGAGTCACCTCCCATTTAGTGACAAAAAGTGGGACCCCCACAAGGTAAACCTTTACCTTATGGGGGTTAATACTTGGTTTTTGGTTACGGTTGGGATCAGTCATGAACTGCTTATGGTTAAATCGCCAGGGAATGAATGTAAGTCAATGCAATGTCCTCCTAAGTGACAAAAACGTGCGTGTGTGTGTGTGTGTGTGTTGTAAGGGCTGAGCTCACTCAGTCCAGTCAGCCCTTCCTTTCTTCACGCCTGTCGGAAAGACTCCCCTGTCAAAGGCATGGCTGAATGGGTGCATCTCTCTCTCTCTCCATCTCCCTCCATTGTTGACTCTCTTTCTTTCTTTCTTTCTTTCTTTCTTTCTTTCTCTCCCTCTCTCTCTCTCTCTCCCCCCCCCATCTGAGCACAGACCAAGGCTTCGTGCTACAAAGTCCTCCCTGCTCTCCAGCCAAGCGAGAGAGACCTCTCTCGCCATCACCATCGCCAGAGAGATGGCCTCGGGACACAAATAGGACGTGACACCCCGAGAGAGGGTGGAGGTGGAGGAGCAAGAGGAGGAGGAGGAAGAAAATGTACTCTCTCCTCTCATCCTACCCCACTGTCTTGTCTCTCTGTTTTTTCCCCTCGGAAGGCCTACGGCTGCAGAGTGGTGGGGAAGAGGCGCACATTGACATAGAGTTTGTGACACCCGATGACTCATGGTGAAGACATTTGAAGAGGAATATGACCTCAATTCAGTGATTTATGTAATCATCCCATCGTCCATTCCTGTTACTGATGTGTGTGTGTGGTTACCGCCTCATCGTCTATCTTATTATTCATTTTTTTCTTGGATTGAGATTGTTTATTGCAAGCAAAATTGCAATGCCTCGATATAAAAATATTACATCACATGCATTAAAATCCTACATTTGTAATTTTACTAGACTAGAAGAACAAAATGACCCATGAGGGAATTGAATGATGCCTATAAAAGTTATGTTGGAGAATTATTGGGAAATATCATTGCTGATGTATTAGTGTGTAAACAGCATTTCATATTGTAGTTTGTCTAAATTAAGCTAATTGTAGCCACATTATATACCGTTCTAATCTAGAATACTGCATAATATTTCATAAACTGATCACATGTATTGTATGTAAAATATTGATCCGACTACATCTGCCAAAGAAAGTAAAATTATGCAAAATATTCCCTGTGAAATGTATTAGAGTGTAAAGTACAAATTAAATTAAATGCATTAAGATCAAGTAGCTCAAAGTTGTACTTAAATAAAGCACTCAGAACTTAAATGTACTTCATTTTCAGAATACAAAGACAAGAAATGTGTGTAAATTACTACAAACTCTCAGTTGCACAGACCTAGAAACAATGTAAAAATCACTGCAGCTGCACACCTGAACGCTGGAGCACATGAAGCCCTTCAACATCTTAACAATTTAAATAGACTTTGAGTACTGCCAAAAGCAAAAGGTGCTCCGCGGAACAATGCCGGTAACAGATAAGACTGTGGCTCTGCCTGAACACACGTGAAGTAGGCTGACATGATACTTATCGACGAGTCACCACGCTTGCCCTCGATGACCTCACAGAGAGAGACGGAGCGATAGTGATGGAGAGAAGACGAAGGATCGGGACAGACGAGGAGAGAGGAAGAGACACAGAGATGGCGCAGAGACACGCAGGAAGAGATGAGGGAAGTAGAGGAGGGCAAGATAGATTATCCAGAGGCTGACGGAATGAAAACAGACCGTCGTGAGGCGATGAAAAAAAAATAGTCTGAAATAGAGACAAGATAACGCAGAGAAGTACATTGTGCTTCATGTTCCTGCAATGTTCTGTGAAATGCCATGTATGTAAAACATCCACGTACAGCACTGCGTGTGTGTGTGAGCCAAAGGATGCGTATTCCCTCTGTGTGTTCCGTCTGCACAGAGGATGAAGAGTTTATTTTTTTTTTCCCCGCCCTGCTCTGTTCATCGTTCTCTTTTTCAGCGCGGGTCAGGCATCCATTTTAGCTGGGCTCTAATCTTTAGTGAGCGCTCCTACATTTTGTGAGCGAGGAAGCCAACACTCCTACATTTTGAGAGGGTGAGAGCACGCGCGCACTTCGGCGCGTGTGCTCCTACATCGTTATTTTTTTGTTTTGTTTTATTTCAAGGGCAGACAACTAGTAGCTCAACATTTGAAGACTGTAAAAAAAAAAAAAAAATGCAGACTGCATTCTCGTGAAAAGCGATCGCCTTCAAACATTTCAGCTGCACTGTACTCGATATCTCAATACCAGCATCTCACTCAGGGATGGGCATTTACTTTCTGGCAATTAAAAAGTAATTTGTGAACAATATACATTTCACAATCTTCTATTAACGGTTAAATCTTAGCCAATACTACCGTGTAGTTTCGTGAGAAAGATGTCACGTTGCGATCGATCAGTTCGGCAAAAAGATTTCCGTGAAAAACACAGACAGACTTTAAAATGTGGGAGCTGGGGAAAAGCTGGATGGGTAAATCTGACGTTTGAAGACTTTTCAAAATGAAAGGACGTGAGCTTGTGTGACTTGAAGCCCGATTACAAAACCTGCTGATGCCGTGCCCCGTTTTAACAACCCCTGGGCTTCTCCTCAAGATTTGTAGCCCCAAACGACCCCCCCCCCCCCCCACTTCTTTTTTTTTTTCAGCCATCACCCCTGTGCACCCCCCTGCTTCCCCCTTTCAAGCTCATTAAGTTAGGATGCCTTATCAGAGGGCACACTCACCCCTCCAAGGCCCTACACATATGCATGTGCACTCACACACACGCAATATTCAAGCTGGCTGGATAAAAACTATTGTTCATACATGCACACACACTCATCTCTCTCTCACACACCCACATATACATATAAAGTATCTATATATATATATATATATATATATATATATAGAGCGAGAGAACCCCTGTTCCTCCATTTTTCTCTCCAAACCCTCACCCCCCTCCCCCCGCCCCCCACCGCCGCCCTGCACCCTCCACCCCCCTGCCCCCCCACCCCCCCCCCCCCGCCCCCCCCCCCCTTCCTCATCCAGCTCTGGGGAGACACATTTTAGCAGAGAAGGAAGGAGGGAGAGAAAGAGAGAAGGGGAAAAAGAGGAAGAGAGAGACGGGGGAGACAGAGGGAGAGAAAGAGATGCACTCCTCCTCTCTGCTCTGCTGCCACAGCGGCTTGGCTACAGAAGCCTTTGATGTTCTGCAAATTTCAAATTTCATTATAGAGAACCCCCTTCTCCTCTCCCCCCCTCCCTTTCCCCTCTCTCTCCTCCCCCTCTCTGCTCTCGCGCTTAAACAAGCTTTTCTGCCTGACTCTCCCACACCCCCACCCCCAATGCTGAAGTTAAGAAACTGAAAGCCCTGCAGAAGAGACTCTTCATATGGGTTAATTATTCATTGGGCTCTGCTTGTATGTGCCAAATGTATGTCTCCGTGTGTGTCTGTACGTACATGTGAGTGTGTGTGTGAGTCATGGGCTGGCAGTGGGGTGGAATCTGGATTTTGTGATGCCTGTCTTATCTGCGATCGTCTTGGATCGCCTCCACCCACGCTCTCTTGTCACTCTACCGAACATGCACTCACTTCTCCCGATAAGAGAGCACTGGCCTCTTAGGATAAAAACACACACAACCTCACGCGCACAGACGGACACACAGCAAGACCGTCCTCTGTAGAGATGCCATTTTCAAGCCCGGGCGTTCTTGAGACTCAGCATCAATGCGGCAAGGCAACCATTTCAGGGCAGGAAGCTGCCATTTTGGTTCAGAGCGTGTCAGCTGCTTTGAGAAGATATGTGTCCCAGTGGCCCTCAGATGAAACTGGGGTGCTACTGAAGTGGTTGACAGGTCGGTGGTGTCAGCAGCATTGGTGGGGAGAGAGAACGGGAGAACGAGGGAGAAGTCCGAGTGCTGTTTCGGCTTTGGATGTTCGTAAATGGGTGTGTTTTTTGAGTGTCTGCTGGAAACTGGGTTAAGATTCTCATTCTTTCTCTGGCATGGAGGTGAGAAGAAAATAATGCTTGATGAAAGACTTTTTTGAACCCGTGGCAGTTTATTCCGTATTCAGAGTTCAGCTATAGGGACGACGTACATTGTTATTTTCAGAAACGATTAGGCTACTAAATGAATACATTACATCAATTGTCAGTGAAACCATAAATATTAGAGGACAGTATTGTGATTCAAATGTTTTCAACACATGTACTGTATATGTACATCGATAGATATGTTTACCAGGGATTTAAGGGCATTGCACACTGTATTTCAGTTAAATATTGTAAGCTAATTAAATGATAATTGTAACATTCAATAATTAACAAATATTACATATCATATTATAATGTGTGTGTGTGTGTGTGTGTGTATGTGTCTGTGTGTGTGGTCAGTTGATAACCTGTCAGTTTCTCTGATCTGATTGCCTCCCTCTTTTTCCTTTTCTTTCCTCCATTCACCACCTTCCTGGTCTCAGCTGCCACTCCTCTTTCACCTCTGACCCCGGCCCAAGGCCAAGGTTGGGAGGTTGTCGCCATGGTAACACGAACAGCCCCGTGGCCCATGACTGCTGACCCCGGGATCCCTAAGTAACCGTGACGATCATAATTTGCTCCCCCTCCCCTCCCCGCCAGCTCGTCCATGGATTCCATTCAGAGAGGGGAGAGATGAACAAACGAAAGTGATGCAGGGATCAATGGATAGATGGACTAATGGAGGGACGGACGGACGGACAGATGGACGGACGAACAAAAGGGAGACGCGTGTGCCGCTGAAAGGACGAGCTTTGGAAATGAGTTTGGACAACCTATCGACCCTCTTCGTCTCATGCAGTTTAAGAAAGAGGGTGTCACCGATTGGATGGAGATCAACTTAACAGAGGTGGCTTTGCTTCACTAAACAGCATCAAACTCTAAGAGGTCACCACTCCAGAGACTGCTCTTTTATCCTTATTCAAATAAACTGGGACAACTTCAAACTACAGCTTAGCCTTGCTTAATGGCAAAGAAAAAACTTTGGTTTTTGGCCGTCACAAACTTGTTTTTTTTGGGGGTTTTTAGCAACCAAAAGTGACATGAGAGGGTGGAGAGGAGTACAACTGAATGCCGAAAAACATTTTCAAGCAACAAAACGGTTACAATTTAGTTCCATGAACTGAAAACACACTGTGAAAGGGTTAAAGTAGTATAAACAAGCGCGGACTGGACAACGTTGAGGCAGCGATCTGTCAATCATAAAGTAGCCACGCCCTAAAGGATATCCTTTACAGTCTATTTTACTCTAAATGGGATGATGATTTACTAAATGAACATCATACTGTATTGAACAAAACTTGTAACTAGCTACTTGCAATGCTGACTGAGGTAATAAAGTGAGAAGTAGGGTCATTTCTTCTCATAGACTTCTGTACGATCAGACTTCAGGAGTTGCTCCCTGATGGCTATCAGAAGGAATGCACTTCAAGGCACATGCGCATCGGCTTCACTTTTCAGAACCAGAGTTTGCCAACTGGTACCTCAACACTGAAGAGAATATTATGAAAAATGTTGCAATATTCATTATTATATTAACACTCTTTCAACAGATGCTAAAAGTTACTCTCCACTTGGTTTGGTTATATGCAACACCATGCTTGAGTAAGTGTCGTATTGAAACCTTCTGATGTGTATATGTGGGTATTATACCTGCTGGAAGGCTACTTTGCTCTTCAATGCAAGCTCCTGTTGAGTGGGGTTGGATGTGTAAATGGCTGAACGATACGGAGTACCACGGTCATTCTGCTGCCTCATTCCTGCGTAAACACACAAACATAAAGGGACAATCAGACACCACACAAATAAGCATAAGTACCACAACCACTACGGCAAAAAGTGTCATTTGCATTTAAAAGGTTTTCACAATTATGTCATCACCCTGCATCTTAAATTCATGAAGCCAAATGAATGTAAAGATCACAGCAGATTTGGGCTTTCATTAGGAAGGCCTGCGGTGTGTAGGTGTATGGGCTCATGTAGGTGGGTGTATTTTCTTCTTCTACGCATCCATGTGGCACTGTGAGAATTTTCATCAGCTTTACATCAGTGTGTTTGGAGGAGGCCCAGGCTCAGTGTACCTTGATTAGAAGGCCAAACAGCTGCCATTACTCCTGTGCTTTTCAGAGTCGACAATCCTGAGCTTTTTTTGGCATCCATGGACTCCTGTCTGTCTCTTACTCTCTCTCTCCCACTCAGCCTTTGTTTCTTCTCTTTACTGAAGACAAATCCTTGTCCTTCCTTGTCCAATCTTTGGCCTCCTGTTATGGGCTGGGGAGAGTGTCATGTGTGTGTGTGTTCCTCTGCTTCTGTCATGTGTGTGTGTGTGTTCTTCGATTTTTACAGCTTTGTCTTTCAGCCTGCAGGCAGCGACAGTGGCTTAGTTAATTTGAAGAACAGACCCCTCAAACTTTGCTTATTGGTCAGTGATTGCTGCAGATCAGTGGTTTATATCAAAGGCTCCGAAGTTAGCAACTGGTTTAAAACAGCTGTCGTGCTGCAACTGGAAAAGGGTTCCGAATACCGGTGAGAGTGAACCAAAATATGTTGATAACTGTAAAATAAAACCAAAACATTGGGCTGAACGATGCTAAAATGCTTCACAGAGCTGTGGGGTAAAACAGGGACTCCCTAAATTGCAATGTGCGGTTAGGGAGTTTGTGTGATGAAATGCTCTAACAGGAAAGGGAATTATGTCAAGCCTAACTATAAGAAGCTCAGATGACATGATGACAGATGATGAACAAAAACAACACTATTAACCAATCTGATGTGGCCACTGCCATGCCAGTTTAAGCTCGCCACATCTCTAGTGCTCAACCCCAAAGGATTTCCTCATGAGATAAGGTCTGTTGCCCATATAAGCATTAACATGTTTTACATTAACCACATAATGTGAGTGACACCTGTTAATATCTCTCTCTATGTTGTTTTCTATTTATATTGTGGGAGTAAACAGATTTTCACTGAACGTGCTGACAAGCTGAGGGCCACAATATTCTTGCATCTCCCTGACACAGCATATCTTTAGATTAAATGTTACCTTACATCATTGAGTGTCACAATCCGTGACAGTCTGTTCAAATATAATGGCTATAAGTATTCATCTGGTCTTCATTCAAATCAGTGTAGACAAGCAGACGTCGCCCGCTCTCCGACACACACTGAATGCCTCAGAGAATTTGCTCCACTGAAAGTGATAAAACAGTGCGTTTTGGAAATTACCCTGTTAAACGATATGTGTGCATATTAGTCTTTGTTCTGTGTAGAGCTTATTCTCTATCAAAAATACAATGTATTTTACATTTAAAATATTTCATATTTTGGTCTCACAGCATCGTGCCCCATTTGACAAACAGAAATACAGATTATAAAGACAACAAACATAAAGGCAACATCTGGGGAAGTATAGTTGTGATGGTGAGTAGCCGATAAAAGAGGGGTAAACATACTTTGTGGACAAGGTAAGGCATAGAGAACCATTCATTTCCAAGTGCATTAGCTTACATTATGCTATGAACATTATACGTGTCAGTAAATATATGAAGTCTTTGTGAAAGGTACACTATAAAACCTGAGCATACATTATAAGAGATGGAATCAATTAGGCCTATTATGATTATATTTAGCAGCATATGAGGGCACTTTGCTTGAGACATCCACGAGCCCTGGTATTATAAGGTGACCATTATTACCTGACCATTAGGACTTGCATTGAAGGCCATGTATCACATATGATAAACACAGATAGTCTCTGTTCACACATAAATGATGAAAACCAGTGCAATGAAGGTCATCGTAAACACTCGTTACAATAACACGCTTCCTTGGTGCCACCCATAGGACATGCAACCACAACTTTTCTACAAAGTGTAAAATACTTTGAATAACAAGCCCGCCTCCAAGTGTGGGTTGTGTGAGTTGAGTATGGGTCTATTAGAGAAAAAACAAAAAACGACAACGATGATCGTGTGACCGGTGGAATGCACGGAACTTGAATATTCGTGACGGCATGGTGGGAAAGGTTTGAACACGAAAAAAAATCATCAATGAATTTTCCCCTTTTCCACGAGTTGAAAAAGCATTTAGAGAAAAAAACCCAAAAAGAGAACATTTGCCTCTTTGCAGATTTTAAACGGTTTACAGCCGAACAACTTTTTCTCTCAAGAGGTCAGACATCAAATTTCACCAGTCACCATGACACAATCATTTTCTATTTAGTACTAATCAAAGAGTGGAAGCTGGTGGGAATGTCAATAGTTTTGCAGGTATTTGGTCACGAAAGTATTGAACAAAATGGAGATTGGGTGAGCCCGCTCGATGAGGAGTTGGTACTGCCAAAATGATTACAACTCATCACGAACGTCTGTACACAATTTCACGAGGATCTATCCAATGGCTATTGAGATATTACAGTCTGAACCAAAGCAGTGGACTGACCAACAATGCCATCCATAGCCACACGCTATGTGTGGCTAAAAACACCCCCGATATTCTACTATTTCGTAAACATACATTTTCCAATGTAAATTATTTCCATAAATGTTATCTTTATTGTGTCATTCACAAATCAACCCACTCTCTCATTAGTCTCCCTCTGCATCCATCTCTACCCTCACCCTCTTTCTCTCCATCTCTGCAGTGTTGGATGTCGGCCATCTTGCCCCCAGCGCTGTTGTTCAGTGACGAAGCTAATGGTGGCCCCTCCATCAAAGGCCACCGTGCCACTCTGCCATTGGCTTTCCACCAGAGCCTTTACTCTGATTGGCTGTCTGGCAGGGGTCTTGTAGCTTTGCTGCTCCCAATGACCTTCTATGCTGACCCAGAGGTTCTGACCATCTCAAACACACACAGACACACTAACTATGCTTGTGTATACCTGTGCAAGACGATGTATGGATAAAACATGCATTCATCTTGGGGGGGGGGGAATGTATATGATACAAACAATTGACTGCTGTAATTTGATTGACGCTATTTTACAGCAGAACAGAATAGAATTGATTTTTTACCTGGCAGGAAAGGTAGCTATATAGACAGTAAAGACGATAAAGGCTTTTCATCACAATGAAACGGTTAATGATATGGAATATCAAAGAAAAGTCAAGAGACAAACACCCTTGAGTGGTAGTAGCTGCTTCCCACACAAAGACAATTAACATTCATCACATCTTCAGAGATCCCTCCTCCATCGGACGAGGAGTTACTCCCCAATCAAAATATTAACACTATCCAAAATATCAGCCTAGGTTTTGACTGTAGTAAGTCCAAATTCATCCCCATAAGCATAGAGTCCTCAAAGAACTACAACGGCAACAAATACCACCCAAAGAAATCCCCCCCACCTGCCTTCAACGTCTCTCTCTTGCTCTCTCCATTTTTAACAGCCCCCTCCGTTATTTTCTCCATCCATCAAAGACGGCAGTAATTATTAATGAGAGCCTCCCTGTTCTTTCTGCATTATGCATGAGAGCCTTGCGTCTGAAAGCAGAGGGTAAAGGGGGGGTTGACAGAAGGGGAGGGTTTTGGGTCACACACGTGCACACACACATACATACACACGCCACCTCTCAGGGTCACTGACCTACGCCCACGAAGCCAAAACTATTAATTATACTATATACCCCCCCCCCCCCCCTAAATAAGAACATTTAAAAGTAGTCCCTTTAATACAAAAGCCAAAATCTGACAAAATGGGAGGGTTGTGGGTTATTTCAAGTTTAAGAGGGAGTAGCTGGTCTTTCCAACAGACATTCACGTACAAACCTGTGCACACAAACGTACATGCATACACTTTTTGGGCTTGCTGTGTTTAAATCCACTGAGATTTCTGGCAACTCTGTAAAATCTCTTCCAGTGTTTACCTTTGCATGCAAAAACAAAAATGGCACCGCTCAGCTTGTCCCTGCTAGCTGTTGATAAAAGCCTGCGATTTCTCCACTTCACCTTCACTCCTTCCTTCTGCAAATTGTGCTCATTCACCTTTTGTCTTTGACTCTTTCCTTATTACCCTCACTCATTTCCCTCCACCTTCCATTCCCTTTTCTCTTTAACCAGGTTCAACCCAAGTTCATATAGCTTGTGTGCATACGTGTGGTCGAGGGCCGGTAAGAAGGTACGATAATCAGATTAAAGGGATGCTGGTGAAGAAGTGTTACGGAGGGAGGAGAAGATGACAGAGGTAGACATTACTGTAACAATGCGTGTAACTACAGAACCGGTGGCCTGACCCCGACTTATTCTCCTGGTGTCTTTTTACACAACGATGCTTCATCCTTTAACCATTGTACGAGCTGAGATTAGCCTCACCTCTCCACCTCCTTATGTACCGTCCCTCCTTTCCCTCTATAGTCTTTCAGCTTTCTCACTCCCTCTGTATTTCAGGATTACTCAAATAGATGTAAAACAAGAAAAGATTGCAAATGAGGCAAAAAAAAACCTTTTAATTATAGAGACAAAAGAATAAACATTTCATCAGTCAAGCTATTGTCAGTGCCCGCAATTAAGAAATGTTTCTGCGTAATTGGTGACTTTTTGTATCCTTCTGAGCAAGGAGTAGAAACATTTGAAGTTCATTTCGGAATTATTGCACTTGGCAGTGCGTGCTAATTAGACCGCAGCAGAGTGAGCACTAATGAACAATCTGATGTTTCTTCTCCTTCTTTTACTTCTTCATGGCTACCCCCCTACCTGTATCTCCCCACACGGTCACACAATGTTATACTTGTCCACCCCCTTCAGGTCTAGAGAGAGAATCCTA